AGTTTGTGATGTTGAAGTCTTAGACTGGTTACCACTTTGATCAACTGGATCATTTTGTTCATTTTTGTCATTTTTATCACTTTTATCACTTTTATCACTTTCACTTATTGTAAAACAATAATCAGTCTCATAACAGGAATTCATTGGCAATCCTGCCGTGGTCGCCAATTGAAAGGAAGAGTTCATAGTTTTAAACTAATTCACCAAATTAAATAAATTCACTTCAATTGCGTACAATTTAAACACAATTTAATCAACTCAGAAGATTTAATCAGCCTTTCAAATCCTGATTGCTCAGGTTCTTTTAGGATCACCTTAGAGTTCAAACTGGAATGAGTCTTAGATTAAGATTACAATAGTTTTAACCGAGATTACCAAGCTTAGTAACCACAAACTGACCAAAGGAATGTTGTTTGTTCAGTATTGTCTTAGACAGGTAAAAGTAGTAAACAGCTAACTGGCACGAGTAAGAAAGCTTAAAACAAGAAACCAAATTCAAGCCAAAATAAGCTTAATGTTGAGCAGCACAATTCTGAAACCAATATCAGTAATATTATCACCAATTCACTAGCTTTAAGCTCTAACAGCATAGACTTAGTCTTTAATTGTTGAACTTTAACCAAAGCTATCTTAAGCAAATTCAGAAGGCACTCAAAGTTAATTATTGTAAAGATGGAAAACTGGATTTTCACGATGCTTTACAGGGGCAATGATGAACAATAGACTTAGTCTTTAGAAATGGAAACTTTTGAGGTTAAACATAAATGAAAATTTTATTAACTAAAAAGTACTGTATTTCAAAGGTTCAGGAAGAACTTATATTTTAAATGTGTTTCACTTGATTTTGTTTTAAACAGAAATTATTAACTAAACATAAATGAAAATTAGAACATCAAAAGACAAACTTAAGACAAATGTAAGACCATTAATTATTGGAAATCAATTGGTATTTATACCAATCTAAACGGAAACCAAAAGAATAGAAAATCTTAAGGAAAAGGAAATTATATCAAAGTCTTAGACAAATTTAGAAAGATAATTAGACAGTGATTTCGACAGGAAAAATGATAAAGCAAAAAATGTTTAGACTTAGTCTTTTTTGATTACAAATTGTTTAACTGAAAATTGTGAAATGTGGGAAAGTCTTTAGGGATTATAATAAGTTTAAAACTTTCAACTCTTATCAATAACCTTGTGATGATGATTAAATGATTTAATTTGGTTTTGGGTAACTCTACCCTTCAGACTGAACTCGCCGAGATGCAAAGAAACTATTCTGGAGTCACCGGTCAAGCAGCAAGTCTTATTAGCGATGTCGAGGAGTTATTGGAAATAACTAGACAACAGGAGGACCAGATTTCTCAAAAAACGAAATTATCGAGTCACTCAAAACACTATTGTTGAGCAATAACTATACATAGCTTACGTAGATGCAGAGCTGAACAAAGCCGTTGGAATTCCGCGGCAGGAATTCCCGGCCTCGTCAGCTCATTATAGATATAGTAAATACACACATTCAATAATAGCTAAATTTCATTGCACTTGATCAATAAATTTCATTTTTGTTATATTTGTTTGTTGCATTTTGTCCCAAAAATCAAGTATGTCTCAGTAATCGAATAACTAACCCTGTCTCAGAAATCACGTATGTCCCAGAACTCACATTTCTTTACTACTACGGTAAATTCATTTACATGTGCAAATGACTGTCTTTACTCGGATCACTCAAGCTAAATACAGCTAAGAGAAAAATTATGAAAATCATTCTTCAATTTTAAATATTGTGATGCACAATCAGAGCTTTAAAAGAAAATAAGTCAACTACTTTATCTTTGCAAAGATTAAGTGAGGTTTATTACTTTAGCGGGTTACAAGGAATGACTCTCAAGAGAGTTGAACGAAGTTTATATATGGCCGGTTGAGGGTTTAACGCACGAACCAATGAGTTACGTGCATCCATCGGTAACCAGAATCTGGAGAGGTTACAGATACGCTAACATAAAGAGAAATGACTCCGCCGAAGAATAGTACAGTTTATTTAGTCACTATTCAGCATAGCGACAGGTTTGATATTACTAAAAGTGATATCTACAACGAGATAATTAAGTCTTTGTTCCCTGAAATTAACGAAGCTGTATATGTTATTGGTGAGGAAAACTCAGCAATAGGTAAGCATATTCATTTTACATTTAGATTACCTGAAAAGGTTGATGGTGAACAATTAACAGATGCCATCAAAACACAGTTGATTGAGAAATTTCTGTACACTGAAACAATTCATGGAAAATTCGGTCAGAAATCATCTTACAGAAACTTCTCAATTTACTGCTCTAAAAACGATAGTGATATACTTCATTTACACACACACACGAGAGCCATTTCTCAAATTATTGAATTGGATTATCTCAACACAGTGGATTGGAAAAACTAAAAATGCCACCTTATAGTCCTGGCCTTAACACATGTGATTTTCATCTCTGGGGTTCAATGAAAGACTTTGGGTTCCAACAAAGATAAAAATATCACAGTTTTGAAAAACACAGAAAAAATTCTACGAGGAAGTAACAACTGAAACATTTCTTAAGTTACGAACAATTTGGTCAAAAGACTCCAACTTCTGAAGTACCATAATGAAAATATTCTATGATTTTGTACCATTTTATTTTAAAATGAAAATAAACTTGACAAATAAACGCATTCGTTCAAACGCTCAAAGTCATTTAATTACATCGTGCTCTACAATCCTGTCACACTATAGCTATAGCTGCTGATATAAAGAGCGTTATCAATGAATCTCTCGCAACACATGAAAGCCTTTTCAACTCAGCCGAGGCACATACCTAAATTGCTCATAAATTGAAGTATAATGTTCATGACGATGAATAGAAAACTATTCAAAATATTCAAAAGATGAAAATTTTGTTCTTATTTGTATTACGCATTAAAATTATTGTTTTTCCCTGACAAAACTCACACTTGATTTTGGAGGAATCTTCGTAATTTGATTTAGAAAGAAACATTTGCATAATTTTACTATAATAATAAGTTGAGATTTGATAAGCTTCTAAACTCACCTCATAACAATAAACTGTGCTTCGTGTACTTTGATTATCCGAGTAGGTAAAACTAGTGATGAACAATTTTGAATGAAACTGCATTTTCACTAATGAATTTTTCTTTCACAAAATATTTTTTCACCAAAGAAAAAAATTTTACATTTTCTACATTCTACATGTCTTGATGACTTTCACTAGATTTGCTGTCTGACATTGAACTAATCTTGCAAGTCGTTAGATTTTCTCGTCCAAATTCTTTGGTTCTACATCATTAATGTATAGATTAACAATTAACAGGACAGAAATGATAACCATTCATTATCCATTCCCTTTCCCTCCCAGAGCAAAAGTATTTATAACCAAACTCGAGTTAATCTCTAAACACACATTGAATATCAAATGGTTGGTGAAAAAAAGTTATCACGTCAAGAATTGTTTTTTAAAAAATTAATCTTTTCCATGATTAAACATCGTTACCAAACTGGGAGTGCTTCATCATCATGATAACCTGATAAATGAATTTTTGCTGGCTAAATCAATCAGTCCATTTTAATCACACTTTAAACGATGAAATGATAATAATTACGAGCCATGTAAGACTAGGCATTAGTTGATAACTTCAACAACTCATGATTAATCAGTTGAATCCACCCATTGAAAGTTAAGAAGAAAAGATGAAAAACTTGAATGATTGATCAAGAATGAACAAAAACATGATTAACATTAAAACTGTCAAAAGCAAACATTGGACCAATTTAATATTGACTGATCAACTTTGACTCCAGCTCACCTTTACCTGCAACGACAGCTATTAATAACAAAGCTTAAAAAAGGGTAAATTGAAAGTGAATTGAAGGAAAACTCATCTTACTGAAAGAAGGTTATTCAACTTGATTCAAGGTAATAACTCAAGTTTATCTCATTTAACCCTGATTATGCATCTAAGTACAACCTGTAATTACTGGCAGTGAAATATGATGATAATAACAATGCTAATATGATATTGAAATTAATGTCAAGTGAACCATTTAAATCGATTCAATATTGAGTGAGAGAAGAGAAGGAAAAATTTAATTTTTTTTTACCTTTTCTTTCCTCTCAGATAATCTTCATCATCTTTACCATGTCTCATGAAATTGCATCAATTTGTATCAATTCAACTTTTCCATTATATTTCTTGTTTTCATTCTTGAAACCATTTTTTCTTCTTCCTTCTCATTCCTTCATATCAAAGTTACATTTAGACATTTAGATATTTATTGATGTAAAAATGTGTCTTTAAGGGAAAAGGGAAGCACAGGAAAAAAAAGATGAACAAAAAAGTAAAGACAAAAATCTTTTCCATTCTTTACTTGCTACTTTTTTATCCATCAAATTGTTGAACAAGAGAAGCAGAAGTATCGCAACGAACCCAACGAACCTTTAAACTTGTCTTAACCTTGTTCCAAGCCTTTTTCCATGCAATGGTTTCAACTTGTTTTTGCTAGCCTTGCTTCATGAGATGATCATCTTTATTTTTCCAGTAAACTCTTATCGTATTTTTGTCTCACCAAAATGGCGTATAAAAGCAAAACTAATATCTTGATGATGATGAGAAACATAAAGAGCAATGTAGATGAGTTTCTATGGAATACAATTGATTTTCATTTGGCATCATTTTCATCATCCATTGTTTCCTCATCCCTTGCGGTGAAGACAACATGAGAAAAATTTCGTCAACATTTTCATTCCATTTTTCAATTTCATCGTTTTTCTCCTTCTATTCAAAAGTCACTCATAAAATGATAATTGAAGCTATAAATGATTCACTTTGATGGCCAATTTTGGGTTACATTTAGGTTTAATGTGAATATTGAGTTTTCATTTTTCTTTAGATTTCACTTTTACTTCAATTTTCAATCTGTGCTTTGATTGGAGTGAAAATTGGTTGAAAGGTTAACTTACATTTAACTGTTGATTTGGTCTTAAAAAATATCCTTTTGTTATGCTAATGTTGGTTGATGTTGTGTTTTGTTTTTTTCAGAGGAACATTTAAACGTAAAGAAACACTTTGTTGGTTGTTGTGCGGTTTAGTTGGTACATTATTTGCAAAAACAATTGAAGTTAATCACAATTATCTAGACAATTGAACATTGGAGACAAGAGGAAAGACGGAGAAGAAAAGAGAAGAAGAGAGGAAAAACAAATGTTGTTCTTTGCTTGTTGATGTTTCGCATTCAATTAGAGCTTGCTTTTGGTGATAATTTGGATGATGATCATGATGATGATGGAGTGAAACTAAACAGACAGAATAGACTCAGCATGTTCAATGATAAACTCTCACTGAATACTACTTTTACTATAAACATTTCAACTGAGCTCACTCCAAGAAAACCAGCAACACTTTCAATATAAATGTATTATCATCATTACAAGGAAGCTCACTTATCATCATATCTTCATCTCTGTAGACAGAGAAAAGTGAAACCAAACTGTTCATATTTTTCCCCCCTCAATAGTTAGTCACTTTTAGCTGGCCATCTTCATCTTCATTTTTTATCATCGTATTTTTTCACTCGTCAAAGGTAAGCTCGATCAAGCCGAAACTCATGAATCTTTCAACCTAACAAAGTCACTCTTATAGGATCAAATTTTGACTATAGTAGAGGTACTTTTTACGTCACACAACATGCACATTTGTGTTTGTCTTTTGACCTTCATCAACCACATCTTCATCATTATTTTGTCATGGATTTCATTTCCGTTTTTAGACTCACAGCTTTGTTCATTTTACAAAACATCCAAATTTGGTCAAGCCGAAACTGACAAATCCATCAACCTGATTCAACAGCTCTTGCAGCATCAAAGTTGCTCTTTGAAAGGGTATTTTGTCTGCAAACAATTTTCATTTTTTATTCTCTATTTTTCACTTCCATTACCATTATCCTTATCACCATCATTATCATCCTCATTAACATGATCCCATCATCTTAAAGCACCAAAGGAGGGTTTCCAAAAAAGTTCACTCTCTCATCTTTATTAGTAAAGATTTCAAATTATAAGATTATTTCTGGTATCTTCTGTTTATATACAATAAAATTATCTCAATTTTCATCAGATTTCCCCCACAATTTCAGGCATTTATCGAGAATTTGATTCGATTAGATATTTTATCCATTCATGTGTTCCAAATTTGACTGCATAACCTTAGTCATGAGCCCAAGACTTTACTTAGAATGAGTTGAAGGTAGTAAGTAGATATTAATGTGATGAATGTCAAAGGTGTTAGAGATGATTGACCACTGGACGGTGACACTTCTGCTATCCTTTCAAACTGAACATTTCTTTCAGCATACAAGACGACATTATCTGAAGTTACTTTTAAATCAAAGCTACCACCTAGTAACTCCAACTGGTTTGTATCATATGATAAACATAATGGTGTTATCCAAGAACAGGAGGAATCATCGACTCTTGCATTGAACAGTTCTCTTACTGAAGTCACAAACATGCCTTCTTGAATCAAACTGGTTAGTGAGTACTTTTCCCGATTACATGTAAATACGAGTTTGAGTCCATTCGGATTGGTAAATGATATCAGAATATCGTCAGCAGAACTAGAATGAAATAGTTGAAAGTAATAGTTGATGTGGTCATCTTTTCGATGAAAAGTGAATATAAATTTGTCCGATTCACGAACTTTGTTGCAGCATTTAAGTGATTGCAGTCGATAAAAAGGTAGTTCACTTGAATCATTGGCAAGCACGACACTTCTTGATCCATAATTAAGATCATTATATTTTAAAGTCAAAGATACGTGTTTTGACGCAATAATATGCTTATAATCAGCTTTCCAATTGAATGGCCAGATTCTGCTCGATTTAGTTGCCTTCCAATTACATTGTAGATCGTTGTTTATGTATTGACTTGATCCTGCAGCCAACTGGTTGTTGTTTTGAAATACAAATGAACGAGGTTCCTGTGCATGCAATTTACAATAATATGTTGTAGTCGATGATCCACTGGACAAGATTAATTCAAAATGATGATGCGTTTCGTTAGTGACTATTTGATATTCAGTTAGGGTCAAACTGAAATACAGTTCATCATCAACTTGATCCATTGTAAAAACCGCTGAAAAAAGGTTATCCTTTGAGCAAACACTGGTACCATCTTTTGAAATGCAATAGGTTTTACTTAAGCACTCATCATTGCAAGTATTTACGGCCACAGTTGAATATTGATCTGAAAGAAGAAACACGATCACAATTAGCAAAAACATGTTCCATAAAATGTCGAACAAGTCTTCACCAAGGAATTATACTTTGAAATCAGTTGATATTCAGATTTTAACACAATTTTTTCCACTATCTAATCATCCATCTTATTACCCATTGTTTTCCCTCATTGAAAGCTTCCACTTCAATGGAAACTGAATTATCAAATCAATCAGTGCTCATCTATTGTGTACTAATCATTTTATCTTGTAAATTCTTTGGAATAGCATGATTTCTCTCAACGTTGACACAATTAGGAACAAAATTTATATCTCGGTGTGTTTCTACGAATTTCGTAGACAATTTTTATATTGCATGCAAACCCCGGTAGACAAGGATAATCGTTTGAAAGCTGCCAGCAAAACAAAAGTTAGCAAAACAACTGCAACTTTGGTAAAGCAAACGGAGCTCTGTTCTACTTTTTCAATTTAAAACAAATGATTTGTCAAGCTGTTAATGAAATCTTTAGTCACCTTAGTCGGAGCTTTTGCATCAAGCATTTAAAAGGACTAGGACTAGGACTAATAAAAGGGCTACTAAAAATGATTGAATTTTGATGGCATTAATTTCTTCTACTGACTTCAACACGAACTTTAGCTTATAAATTCGAGGTTTTTTGCTCATTATAATAGATAATTATAATCATAGGAATTTATAATAATTTATAATTTAGTCCACCATTTCAACGATTCAAGAAGTAACCGTTAGTTCAGCATTTGTAGGGAATAGAAAACTATCGTCGATAAACATCGATCAATTGAACCAAATGTATTCTACATGATTCTGAAATATGAGAATGGGATATACAGAATGCATTATGGTATGATCTGCAGCAGCCCCAAAACTTTGGCCTCGAAATCTCGAAAAAAGGAACAAATCTTTTTGTGATCCTCATAGTCGAATCTCTTCTCAAAAAAGTTTGAGACCTTAACTAACAAAGATATGAAAGTAAGAATTTGCTAAGAAGTCCTTTTAATCGGTCCTTTGATCAGAATACGCATAATTTTCAGCTCAAAAAATTCTCACTGAAAAAGATAAGAGCCAAACTAAATAATTTTCATTACCATCTCGCATCGTCTTTCATCCTTTTCATCGCCTTTTCACTGAACTTATTCATTAGTATATTTTCTAGCCTTTTTTCAATGCAACATTCGTTAACTAAAAAATTTACTTTTATTTGTTTAGTAGGTCATTGTTTTCGGTGAAACTCATTTTCTTGATAAAACGTTGCCATTTTTGCCCAATTGAACCGTGAAACAAAACACTTTCACCCAAAATGAACCATTTTTCATGGAAACTTGCAAACAATTCATGAGGCTGATGATAGATTTAATTGTATTACTAGGAAGGGAAAAAAATGACTGATCAAAGGGAAGAAAAAAAGTTTTCTTTATATATATTTATCTTTCGTATTCTATTTCAATGGATGGAGCAAAAAAATGGAGTTTCTCATTCTCTTCTCATACAAACTTTTCATCATCACCATATCCACCCTTTTCATCATCCCAATCATCCTCATCATCATTATCATTTTCTTCTTTTGCTCGTATAACGTCATTTTGATTCCCTCAAAGGACTCATTCAACATTGAACTTATAACCAACCATGGCTAATAACAAATACAACAAACAGTTGTAACCATAAGTAGTACCCATTACATTCATCTTTCATCATCACCATCCTCATCCTGATCACAATCATCATCATCTACCTTTTTCATCTTCATCACTTACTCCAAGTTAAACAACCCATTAGTCTGTATTTAGCTTTAATACCAACTAAACTTTCAACTCTTTCAATCTCTTTTTTTGCACCTTCATCTTTTCATCTTCATCTTTTCTCCTTTTCTTCTTCCCTTTCCTTTTGTTATCCTACATTAATTTTGTGCTTGACTTTACTTCATCATCATCATTATCATTATCATCACCGTTTTACTTGCAACAAATTTTACAGAATCAAAACAGAAGAGTGGAAATTTGGAAAAATGAGGAAAACTCTTAGACTTGTTTAAGTGGCTATTTGTTGAACATGGAAGCCAATATTATTTATAACATTCACTTTAAACTTTTGCTTCTCAATTTAATAGCAAATTCCTTGGGGAAATTTTCATCTTTTTTTAATTTCTTTACTTCTTTACCTGCATTTTTGCTGGATTAGGCAAAGTGCATCGAGTTGATCAGTTGTGAGTTGAATGAAAAAATGCCAACCTCAGAATGATTATCGTCTTTTAATTGAAATTGTTACACCGTTTCTAATTAGCAATTGATTCTGCATTGAAATGTTTAATTGATATTCTTAAGTTGATTCAATCTCTGTTCATTGAACTGATTTTGACAAAAAAAAACAACTTCAATTTGATAGCATTAACAAGGATTATTCAAGGCAATTCAACTTATTTGGTTAATTCATTATCTGATGATTAATAGCAAAAAATGTTATTTTGAATGTTTTCATTCTTGGTAAATTGTACACATTTTGATTTGTTCAAGTTTTTTGAATTAAGTTTCAAAATGCTGCTTGATGTTTTGTTTTAAAATTTCATGAAACTCTTTGAATGAATATTCAACAGATTTGATCTTGATTGATTCATGCAATGAGATTAAGTAAAGAATCGAAAGGATGAAGAAAACAAAGCAAGTAAATCCTGAAGAGGTTAACAATGAATTGATAAACCTGAATGTTGAGTTCATCTTTCAGTTGTTACAATCTGATTGATTGATCAAAATGATCGATTGTTTCAATGTGAAGATTGATCGAACAATTTGAACGTTTTTGTTTCCTTTTCAGGTACACAGGTTCCCTTTCATTCCAAAAATCTTGAGCCTAAAGACTTTGATTTATCGGACAATTTATTATCTTTTATCTACTTTACATATTCATTTTCAAGATTTTGCTTCAATTAGTATTATTTTACACTAACTTACAGTTGAATAATTTACAAACAATTGAAAAATAGTTCTATATAGCTAGGTAAATAATCAGACCAATAATTAGGGCAACAAAATAATTTAGCATCTTACCAGACTTGACCGTAGACTCCAGGGCCAATAAGATAGTTTGATAGATTTCATTGGAATTTCCCCGTGATTCCGATTCAGCTCTACCCTGTGCATTCCATTGATACAGATTGTCGTGACCACAAAAGTAGATTTCGTCGTTCACAGGAAAAAAGGCGAAATTTCAGAAATTGTTGAGTATCAGTAGTTGTATAACGCCCTGGTCTAGACATTCTTTTCCGCTCTGGGCCAACTTTTCACCCGAGTCTGGATCGAATTTGAATTGAAAAGGTTAGGACTTCCATGATTGAAGCAATGATTAAATTTATTATGAAATCATATCAAATGATTATCTATTTTGGTTCCAAAATTTCCAAAATGATTCCATGTTTCTCTTTTGTATAAAGAATCGTGATCAGTCCAAGTATATTCAATTTACCCTAATACATACAATTTTCTCAATAGTCAACTCGAAAAAGGTTTTTCAACTAATGAACCCAACAACACTCTTTGACATTCCTCTGGCCCTTTCGATAATCTTTTCAGCTTTTCGAGAGCATACCCCGCAGGAGAAAGATCACCATTATCTTGAATACGAAAATTTTCTAGCAATTTACTTTCAAAAGTTTCGGTAGAAAGGGTGTGAAATTCAAGTAAAACTTTTTCAAGATCTCGGCAAAAAGTTGATCCAGAGCGGACAGGAATGTCCAAACTTGGCCTTTATAACTATTAGTATTTTTTTCCAATGTGCTCGACGTTTCCAATGAATATGATTTCTAAACGTGGATTTATATATTTCCATTGAACATTTTTTCTTTTCTCTTTACAATTAATTCCAATTGTCTCAAATTTATTCGAAATGGGAATTAATTGTAACAATTTCATTCCTGAATCAATCTAAACAAGCAATCCTGAAGTTGAATAATCTCCAAAGCTTTCAACTTTGTCTCAGTCTTAATGACTGATTAAACAATATTTTAAAGTGTTAATTGTCAATTCAAACCTTTTTATGAACTAAAAGGTTAAGATTGTCTTTTCCTTTTGCAATTTTGTTACCAATTAAAAAGCTTTTTTTGTTCATTATTATTCAAGTTAATGGGAAATGAGTTGAAAGTTAATACAAAAACTGTTTGCCAAAATTGATCAAGAAACAAAAATAGGTGAAGAAGAAAACAATTTTAAATTTAAATTCAGAGTTAAGTTGGATTAAGATTGAATCAAGATTGGAAATTTACATTTCATCAAAAATTTGCAAATATATTGCCTTTTATCCAACAGCTGATTAAGTACTAACAATCAACCCAAATAAAGGAAAGGTTTGAATCTGAATTAAGGTCTTCGGACTTGCATCTGACAAAATTTTCAGACAAAAATTTCTGAACAAAATGAGACTTTTCACAGCAACAAAAGCACCAACCTTGAAATGTTCAGATTCAATCTGAAAATGAACCTTCAGACAATCCATAAGTGAACTGAAAATTTCAGACAAAAACTCAATTGATTTTACCAGAGAAACCGATTCATTCTGAAAAAAAGTAATTTCAAGTTGAGACATTGAAATGTTGACTTGAATGTTTCGAGTCTCAAAAATATTTCAGTTTCATCAATAAATCAACGCTAAATTGTCTTGAACAACTAACATGATAATGTCTCAATTGTAACTGTTCATTGAGAGATGAGATTTATCTAAAAGCATCTCAATTATGCTAATAACTATGAAACTAACTACATTTAGTCTCGACATTTATCACCATTTTAATCACTTGTTCACATTAAATTGAGTCAATTTACAGGCCTTTGAATACAAATCAAAACATTGTCTAACCATTAAATGTTTAAATGCTTTGAAAAAAGTGTAAATTATTTTTAAATTAACTTGCAAAAATTTCTTTTCTTTACTTCGTTTCTCCATTTTACTGCAACTTTACTGGTTTAGTTGATTCAAATGCTCAAATTTTCGTTACAATTTAATTTATCCAATGCTAAATTCAATAGTTTCAAGCTTTCCATCTGCAAAGGCTACCTAAAATGAGCTAATTCAATTTTCTCTGTCAACATTTCGCGAAATGCAACAAAATAAGTTAACCAATTTTGGGTTGAGAATTGTTTCGCAAAATGAATTGACTTAATCATGATTCCATTGAAAGTTGATGATTCAGTTTCAATGGTTTTCAGTGTTTCCCTGTTCTCTCCTTCCAATTTTGTCAATCATGAAAATAAAAGTCTCAAAGTGAATTGTAAAAATGACATTACACAGTTTTCACTATTGAATGTTTTTTGACTTGTAAAGGTTTGCTATTTACATTGCTATTGATTTTGAGTCTCTATTTTTGGATTTTAAGATTTATAAATAAAGACTTTGTTTGATTATCATTTTAATACAACATAAATAAAGATTGACTTCATCTACAATACAATGTTAAGGTGCTATTTGAACACCATGAAAAGATGAAACATTGGAATAACATTTGAACAAAATTAAATGTAAAAAATTTCCAGGTCTACTAATGGTTTAGTTTAATGGTCAGATTACAGCTTATTGAGATGAGATTGATTATGCCTTTAATGCAATTGTTAATGTTTAATTGGGTTTATGTTTGACTAGGAATCTTATGAGTTCGAGGCTTGCTTGGATTTAAAGTCAATTACATTTGGCCGATTAACTTTAATGAATGTTTTAATAAATTATTGTCATTGTTACAGAGTTGATGGATTTAATCAATTGTTAATTTAATTGAAACTATTGGGTCGATTGTTGGTGTTGTAACGACATCTATTGATTTTTTAATGCAACAGTCTTTTTGCTGATCAATGTTTTAAATTTTGTATTTTGCTCGGTTCATTAAATGTTCAGTGTTTTGTTTGCCTGATAATCAAAATATCTTTCCAGTTTTTATTGAAAATTAATGAATGATTGAAATTTGTTGTCACGTTTTTTATTCACAATTCATTTGATTTAATCTCATTTTTTCAATCAACTGTCAACGTTTGGTTTGTTGACATTTCATTTTTTGTTTTGTTTGATTACCATTCTTCATTTGAATTAACAGTGTCAATTAGTGTCAATATTCATGGGCTGTACATTAAATTACATTGAAAGTCTATTAATATACATGATAATCGGGCGTGGAAACAGTTTATATCTAAGGTTAATGAGCATATTGAATAATCATTGTGAATCATTGATAATGCTAAAGACTTAATGGCACCTTTTGCTGCCCTTTTTTTTTGGTTTCTGTCTGTATAATTATGGTTGACTTTTTACAGCTTTCAGGTAATAATGAAACAATTTTGAGAAAAGTTGAATTGCACACAAGTAAATCATGTTTACCTGTCTGATAGATTAATTGGTTCACCTGGAGCAATCAAATAAATATTTTATGACGAACATAAAATTATTAATCACACAAGCAGATGGAAGAGTACGGAAATTAAAATCAAAGTGAAACTAGCAAATAACGAATGAGAAGCGCCATGTAAGCCAATTGTTGGTTCTCGATAAGTTGACTTTCCGTCGGACATAATTTCCAGATTATATCTGCCATTGCGTGTATCAATGGATCCACTTGACTCAACGAGCTTTAAAGGCTGAGACCAAACACAACGGAAATCAGGGAAAGGTGCTTCTCTTTTCACAATCTCATAGAAACGCAAGTCTCTCATGGGTGCCCATCGAGATCCAACTTTAACTGAAGCATTGAAGGCGTTTGATGAGTTACAGATGATCCTAAATTCACCCCCTTTTGGGTTCACTAGGTTAACTTGCATGGTTTTAGGAATGGGAGGAAAGGCTTGAAGGTAAAAGTTGGTGTCGTGAGTGGTTTGGTTGCTAATAAAGAGGTAATTCAGTCCACCGTGAGGTTTGTAGCAGCATCGAAGGAAATTCATTCGATAGATTGGTAGCTTTGAAAGATCGCGTGCGACGACTTTGGTTACATTATCCGATCTCAGAGATATCTGGTAGTTCCTGGCTTCTAGCAAGTTAATTTTTGAATAGTTGGCATGTGTAGGCCATTTGTAGTCATCTTTACCAAAAGTCCATTGGCAGATTAATGCTCCACTGACATTTCGAACTTCGTTTGTTGGAAAGTTTGATTTGGATCCTTGGATAACCATTGCTTGAAGTTTGCCTTGTCCAGTCATTTGGCACAGATATTCAATCTGTTCATGTGTATTGTTGAGTGTGAATGCGATTGTTCGCTCAACACCATGCTTTAATCCATAACCAACCACAGTTATATTGACTTCTTCTTCAAAGGAACCACGCTGGATAACATGAAAGGTTGCTTGGGCTAGACAGTTGACTCTGGAAGCGCATTCACTTTTACGGGTGTCATTGGCCAAACTGAAGACGGAGGTGAAACAAGAAGGAGAACAGGATTTACTGGCCAAACAATCACTTGGATTAATCATCCAAACAGATATGAATAGAGTAATATACCAAATCATGGTTAACACTGAGAAATTGAAAAAATAAAACGTAATAGTTAAATGAATACTAGGAAATGATGAATGTCAAGAAGTGTTTTAACACTGTTACACTTTTTTCACTCGCTAATGAACAAGATGAAAATAGATGTTTTTTGATACCTTAACGTCTATTTTCACTTCACTGATTGATTGCTTTTTGATTTGAGAATGATTTGACGAGTTTGTTGATGTTAAAATGTGAATGCTCAATTACACTCTCAATTGAAGTGAAATTAAATCCAATGCAAGATTGCCAAAGGTTTTAACAATATGATGATGATGTGGTTGTGGCTGTAATGATGATGATTGGTACCCTTGAAGTTCTCCCGGGCTTAATCAAAAGTAACAGTAATTTATTCAGCAAATTGTTTCACGATAACAAGAGATATTTTTCAACAGCAAATATAAAAATCTTCGGATAATATAGAGTTGAATGAGGGGCGAAAATGTTCATCTTTCGTTGATCCAATGATAAGTGATTTTCCGCTGTTTGTTGGAATTACAAGAAAAAATCTGAAAAATAAAAAGGTTATTAAGAAAAGGGTAACGTTAAATTTTTATAATTAGTTTAATTATTGAATGTACACGATCTCTTTACTTACCTATTTACCGATGTAAAAAAATAAATAGTTTAAACCGTTTACCCATTATTTTAACTTGCTTTTTCACTGCTGATCTAGCTGGTCTAACTGAATATTACTAGGAAAAAAATAAGAGTGAGAAGAGACGAAAATTTTGTACATTTTTTTCTTCTTCCGTCACAGATTTCGAAGATTTTCAAAGTCTGGCGATTTTCCAGGTTGTTTCTGGTCATATTAAGACAACTGTAGATTGATACTTCGATCATATGTAACGAAACTAACTGAGGTCTATTTATAACAAGATAAACTGCTATTTTGCGTCAGAATTTGTCAACAACTCAAGCCCTATTAGGTTGGTAAAATCTACCATTTTTCACCCTTTCACTTGACGATTTTCATCATGTGCAGGTTGAGGATCAATTATATCGATCAATAATAATTGCCTAAGAAAATTGAATCCTACAGTTGAATTTAGAACGAGAAAATATAAAAAAGATACAGAAAATGGTTTACTTCTGACACTTACTTTTGTCCGTAGGCTTCACAATAGACTTTCAAATACAGTCTTAGTTTTTTTCAATATTTTGACGGGCAATCGAAATCCTTCTAATAATTTCTTTGGGAATCATGGGCCAATGTTAGGAATAACAATTTTGATACACTTAATCAACTCATAAATATCTATTTTTAATTTACACTTTCCCTCGCTTTACTGGTATCGCTTTACGTTTGGATCCAGATTGGATTGGATCTATTCAATAAAGTTTACTCACAATAAATTGATCAAAGATATTTATAATCTTTATTTTATTCACAATATTATTGTCAATAACAATAGTGACATTGTTTGTTAATTTGATAAGTAATAAATTTGGACAATTCAGGGTGAAATGATTGTTGTTTCTGTTATAAATATTTGATACATCAATATATAAATGAATAATCGTCAACCTGTTTGGATTTTATCATTTTGTTCAACCTGTACAACAGCAAGGTTTTCCTAGGGTCTTCTTGTGATAACTTGAAAAGCTGTCAAATGATTTACCATTGAAAAGCTCAAAAATTGATAAATGAATAATTAAATAATAATTAGTGACAATTTGGACCTCCATTTAACCATTTAAGTCTACTTTTAGGCTTTAAAATTGAGTGATAGTTCGACTGACGGAATAATCAATGGAAATCAAAGCAAGCTTTTACAATTTGGTAAGCTGATTGTCAACTTTCCTATTATAGAGTCCAAACATTATGCTCTGAATTTAGTTGATCTTATTATTGATCAATTATTCGGGACAAATGTCAATCATCAGTCAAATGAGCTTTAGATGTATTGCCTTGGTTAACAATATCAATTTACTCTCACATAGAGCTAAAATGATGGATACGATTCAGATTTGTGCGGAAACAATATTTAGGTTCAATGGCAAGTGTAAAAGCAACTGTAAAACTAAATATTGTTTTATTTTAATTAGATTGATTGATCAGTTGAAAGTATCTAAATGTTGAATTTAAATTGTCCTTGGTACACGAGTTAATACAATTTACCTGAAAACTGAGATGCAAAGGAATGGTAAATAAACCATTAACTTTTTTCATGGTCATCCGCAAAACCATATCAAGGGTGATCTCTTAATATTATCAACAATTTAAACTTGTTTTCACCTTTTATTTCAACGTATTTCCACTTTCTCCTGACACAGTTCCGATCAAGTTTCCGGCTGAACCAGTTTCTAATACATTTCCAACTATTGTCATTATATCTACGTTTTTTTTCTCGCTTTCAATTTAATAATTGTCGACGATCTTGTTTTTTTGTTTGTATTTTTGTTCAGATTGTTTCTTGGTGTGTGAAGATGATCTGAAAACTGAGCTTGTTGAAACATTGTGTACAGCACATTAAAGTCAACAATGACACATTTCTTACCTTTTTTGGTGAGACACTTTCAGTAAAAAGTAAAGCATGTTGATAATTAGTGATTTTGTTGTCTTTTATCATCCTAAGTGGTCATGTCTTTTTTGTATTTTCAGGTTAAATCAAGTGTTTGGTGAAGCTACTTTGTTAGTGTTTTCATAAATGTCTACAAAATAGACTACATCGTGTATATCATCAGGAACCATCAATATCTTGAGATTTACTTGATTACGAGTTCACCCAAGTTCAACCATCAGCAAAATTCATGGTCTTGTTAGTGCGAACCAACTGTGGTTTCCTTTGAAGACAGGGAGAAAGAGAGAGAAAGAGCAAGAGAAGCAAAAAAAGAGAGTAAAAAGGTTGGAGAAAAAACTGGAGAAACAAAAGCAAACAATCTCCATTTTTACAGCTTGCTGTGTATCTCCTTCTGGTTACATTATTCCCTCTCTTTCTTCTTGTTTCCAGCCAAATCTGCCTCTGTGTTTTTACCTATTCATTCCTTTATTATTGTGATTAACCACCGGGTAAAGAGTAAACCACCTGTCCTATTTATTATAATTCAATTTATTCTCTAATCTTACCAATGGAATCAACAAAACACTTCTATTACCACAATCACCATTATCATCATAGTGTTATCAATATCTCCCTACTGCAAGTTTACATCAACATGGTTACCTATTCTTAGGCTATATTTTGGTCCAATTTTAAAACAGTGATTGTTATTATATTTTTTACTTAATTATTCATTAATATAAATTAAGTTTTACCTAATCTGCCAATTAACTAATCATAACTATGCTGCCAGAATAAAATTATTTCATTGCTTCACAATTGACCATCAGAGGAAAAGCTAAAAACGTAAACACAACCAGTCAAACATGATGTTTGATAAAGCAGTCTATCTCAAAGGAATTCGGACTCTTTCGCTTATCCTTCTCTATTATTGTTTCTCAATTGGGATAACATTTTATCAAAAATGGTTTTTAAAGGTATGTCATCAATAGCTTACTTTTATGGATACCAATTTATCGTTTGTTTCTCTTTCTTTTCTTTCAGGGCTTTCACTTTCCTTTTTTAGTTGTTACATGCCATATGATAATGAAATTCTTGCTATCCGCTGTTGTTCGATTTATCATGATTCTTGTAACTGGTAATTTTAGAGCGACTCTAAACTGTTCCGCCAATGTAAAGAAATTAGCCACAATTGGATTTGCCAGTGCACTGGATATTGGTTTCTCCAATTGGTCCTTCGAGTACATTACAATTTCTCTTTATACCATGACCAAAAGTACTTGTATAATATTCATCCTTGGCTTTGCGATTGTTTTCGGCTTAGAGAAAAAGGTAAATTCTGGAAAGGTTAAATGCTGACTTTTGTCCAAACTGTTAACAAGGCTAATCAATTAAACCATTATCCTGTTACTATTTCAGACTTTAGTTCCCCCAAGAAAATTTGAAAAATTAGTATCTGCAGCCAACCTTGGAGTAAAGCATGCATTTAGACAATCAACATTATTGTTTGAGTATTGCCAATCCATTTTTTAGAGAAACTCTTCGTTTTCTTAAATTTCATTAGCCGCATTACTCATAATCAAAGGTTTTCCTTGTTTGGACTTACCTTAAACAATGATTTTTTTATTGGCTTGATATGATGATTGGCAATTTCATTGTATTATTATTTCTCATGTGATATAACTAGGTTGTTATGAAGTTTGGGAAGAAATAGTTCAATCCACTTTACAGTTATTAAAAATGGATTGCCTGGTTACCTTAGAATTGGATAATTAATTTATAGTTTTATTTTCTTTATTTCTAGCGCATCTCTCTGGTTGTGGTTGTTATATTAATTTCCAGTGGTCTCGCTATGTTCACATACCATTCAACTCAATTCAGTTCCAAAGGCTTCACACTAGTTTTAATTGCATCTTTCCTTGGTGGTTTAAGATGGACTTTGGCACAGTTATTGATGCAGAGGAAAGATATGGGTATGTTTATTGTTTTTTTATCTCATTCAAGATGATGAATTTGCTAAATTTTTTTTCTAATTTCCTTTTTATTCTTGGTTGTAAATAGGTTTAAGTAATCCAGTTGATATGATGTACCACGTACAACCATGGATGATTTTATCTCTATCGCCATTCACATTCGTATTTGAAGCCTTACCACTGATCAACAAAAGTTTTTCAGTTTTTTTCAACACATACTCTTTCATATACATTCTGATTGGTTCATTCCTCGCTTTCCTCATGGAACTCAGTGAATATCTTCTAATCACGTATACTTCGAGTTTAACCTTGTCTATAGCTGGCATATTTAAAGAAGTATTCACGTTATACATAGCTATAGAATATTCTCGTGATGAAATTAGTAGAATTAATTTAATTGGTTTAGCTGTTTGTCTTACTGGTATCTCATTGCATGTTTACATACGTGCTAATGAAATGGCAAAAGGTGAGAAATATATTCATCAAAATTTTTATGGCAAGCCTCTGGAAAGAAAAATACATCTTAAGCCAACCCTCAGAGATTACTAGAAGTGATATTTTTCTCAATTGTTTTATAAGATTTTCCCTGGCTCGTTGTTGTTATTTAATTATCTTGGAGTATCCACTGTTGTTAAGATGATTCCTACATCAGATTCTTTACACTATTTTTGTTTTATGCCTGATTGTTTCTAGAAAATGAATTTTCTTTCTATAAAATATTATAAATTAAAACGATGATGATTGTTAGAAACTAGTCCTTCAATAATTTATCGAAATCTCCGTGAAATATCGCTTGCCGCAGGATTTTACTGCATGGATCTTAAATAAATCAGCAACTCATAAACGATTGTAAATCATCTTTTCAAACCATTGGACAAAGACAACAATCAGGTTGCTTTTTTGACTCTCAATCATTATAGGGAAATTAATCAATCGAAAGGTTTAGACAATTTCGCTCTTGAATTAATATTAATTGGTGTAATGTTTTTGAAAGAATCAGTATGATTGATGTTGATTACCCTCGGAGTTTGATCAAAAATGATTACTTTGAATTCAAACATTGAGTATGATGCTTTCAATTGTATTTACTCAACATGTCGACATAATTTTGTTAATTTCACGAAAAGTATTTATTCAGCTGCTTTGCCATTTCAATTGATGATTAATGCAAAAATCATTGAATACTCGATTAACTTATTTTTTACCTTTTTTATTCCAATGATCTTAGATAAAAGGACAATCCCTGCAAATGACCATCTGGAAACGGAAAAGCTTTTAATCAATGGAAGTGAAGAGATTTAATTTTCTGACTGACCACTTTAATGGAAACTATGAGGCCAACAATCTTCTAGTCTGCTTGAGTTTGAAAGACTTGATTGACTATTCCTAATCAAATTCCTTCACATTGGTATTACATATACTCAACTGATCACTATTAATTCCGAAATCATTGGGAACAAATTGATTTGTGTAAAAATCAACAATTCTGCATTTTCATCTATCCACATGGAAATCTATTGTTACAAGTGACCATATATCATTGCATGCTTATGCAATATTGAATCATACATTTTAAATTAGTCATTTAATTGATGTTCACAATTCATACTACAATTAGTAGCCTTTAAACATCGAGTAATTATTGACTATGAAATCAACTTATCTTCAGAGTATCTATCGACATAATCTGCGGTTAGATACGATGGTATTTTTCTGTAAATTGAGCTTAAAGTGTTTAACTTTCAGATCAAGACTAGCAGCTATTCTCATTGTCTTCTCAAGATCAACTCTCAAGATTCAATGTTTAAAATTATAATTTACACTTTGTACAGAATAAGCTAACTTGGCGAATGGTTAAATTGTAAAACAGTGAAAGATAGAGCGAAATCGAAAAAAAAATCTCAACAGATCTCCCTTGTTAATTTATTCATTATTTTGCTAAATAAACAACATAAAAGCTTGTGATTAATCAATCAATTTTTTACAATCATTTCCAAAATCAATAAAAAATGGTCCAAGATTAGATTTTTTGGGCTGCTCATCAATTATCAATTTATAGCTTCTAAAGCATTTGATATTTCACTTGGAGTCATCTTGATCTTTTGAAACCATTAAAAGTTATTTACACTTTGTGGCATCAGGCAATAATTTAATCAATATCTTGGCTTCTGTAAAAAACCCAAATAAAAAATGGTTTAATTGTTAAAAAACAAAATTTTGATAGCAAAATATTTGAAAATGGCAATTGAATGGATTAAGCTAGGAGCCATGACAACACAAGCTTTATCTCTATGGTTACACACGTGGGTATGTGCTTATGGTAAATGTTTAACACATTGTGTGTCCACAACTTTAAAAACCTTTCTCATTTGTTGCAAATCTATTTAAGTCCCTTTAAATTAAATTAACAACTATGAGTGATTATTTTAATTAGTAATTTGATCATTGTATTTTGACAAATCCCTAGTGTTTATTACAATGGTGAAAAGTAAGCCAAAAAAAGGTCGACCAGACAAGACCTTTACGGTATGTTTCATTTTTTAATTCCATTTAAAATAACCTTTCATGTTGCACCTTTTACCTAATATGTTTCATACTTGTTAATTGTCTTTTTATTTTCTATTTAACAGTTCAAATCCTTCAATGACCACATTTCAGAAATCAAAATCGACCTTATTCGAAAGATTGATACTGCAAGAGGATCTGAACAAAATGATTTTGAATCCAAGTTCCATGAGACATTACAAAAGTTTAGTGACTTTAATTGTACTGCTGATTTTGCAGCAATCAAGAAACGGCTTGGTGGAACCTCAACATTTTACTCTGTGATTCAAGTTCATGAGCGACATGAAGAGTTGTTCAATGTTCTCCATGATTCCTTGTCCAAAGAAGATAGTTTGGCCAGTGATGTCATTCTTGAACTTATTGTTGCTCTTGCAACTGACATTGGTGAATTGTTTTATCCATATTTTGAACCAACGTTTGAAGCTCTCGTTAAACTCATGGATAGCCAGGATCCTAAATTAGTCGAGAATATTTTTATGGCATTAGCCAATCTATTTAAAATACTTTCACGAGAGATACAAAAGCAAGCATCTTACATACAGAAAATATTTGCACTGTTCAAAGGATTGTTTTCCAACAAAAGGCCAGAATTTATTCGTTCATTTGCTGCCCAAAGTTTAACCTACCTTATACGAAAAATCTCGAAGAAAGATGAGGTTATTCAAGTTGTGCTCAAGGAAGTTGATTCAGATTCTAGTGTCATCAGTGGTGTTTCCTATTTGTTATTTGAAATAGTTAAAGGTGTTACCGGCCATTTACAGAGCTGTGCTGAGACATTCATCAAATCATTGCTCGTTATTTATACAGAAAATTATTCTGCATCAAAAAATGTTAAACTGTGTGTTGAGGAAACCTTTAAACTGATTGCTGGCCATATTGAAAAAGAAAGGTCTGATATTATATGGAAAAATTTGTTAACTGTGTGTGAAAATTCCATCCAATCTCCGCAATCATTCAAGCAGGTAGCATCGATATTGTTGTTTTTTGTCTCTTATAAGCGTGGAGAGCTTATTCAAGATTGTGAAAATATCGTCTATTCCACAATTCTTTTTCTCAAATCCATGTTTGATGTTCAAGATTGCTTAGATGTGTTACTTCGCTTGACTGCTGTTATCTTAAACAATCTTTATGCGTCAATTGAACCTGATCGTCGTCGAGAACTTATCAAAACTGCTTTCGATTCTAACATAACAGCATCACAATTTGGTTCCTTTGTAGAGAGCCTTTACCACAATCACTTCTTTGAAGACGATATTCTACCATTTCTCCTAAAGCGATCCTATCAACCTTTAATCCAGTGTCAAACTAGTTTGATTGAAGATGAATTACAAGAACAGATCAAAGAATTTAATAATATCATTGATATTTTATTCAAATTGATTACGTGCAAGGCACCTTTACCAATTTTGGAAACTCTTCCAACGTTTGAAGCCTATCCTTTAGACTTTTCAAAAGTTGCTACAGAAGAAGGATGCGCGGATTTGATTGCGAGGCTGTTGAAAGTTCTAATTGATCCACAGGATTGGGAACTTGTTCGTAAAATCGTAAACATTTTGCCTCACTTGATACCGCTGGAGCGTAGTTTCGTTATAGATGGATTGACAAGCTTGATTATCAAATTGATGGCAAAAATTAGTGAATTTTCCAGTGATCCTGACCGTTGTTATACCAAGCTTGACTATGAAAAAGCTTTGTTTCTAACAATTCTTAGCGAGTCAATATACTCACTTTCACTGCTGCGGTCATCAGAACTTTTGTCAGTTTTCGAGGATGCCTTCATTACACACTTATTCAAGTAAGTTTTTGTAATTTGCTAATTCAATATCGACACTAAATCAGGAATTTCTAATTTCTTATATTTTTTTCTTTCAGTAAATTTCCTGGAAATCCAATAATCCTTCAAGGGTTCGTGTTTTTCTTACAATACGCAGATTTTTGTAAGAACAAAGAAGTTTTCAGTCGTGAATTTTTCGAAAAAATGTACTTCAATTACTTTCAAGACAATTTACGCCATCCGAAAAGTCAAGTTAGATTCTTAACTTTGATGGCCATCGACTTGCTTAATCCTCCAATGGGACCAAGTGAATCAGGAGAAGTTAATAAGTCCATATTTCGTATTTGTTTGGATGCCGAAATGGTTTCTGTGACTCTTCAAGAATATCGAGAAAAATTGCGATTGATTAATCTTCTGCAATATGGTTTGGTTAACAAATCACTTCCATTGCCATCACTCAACGGGCAAACATATGATCTTGCCCCTTTATATTATTTACTGGGTACTCTTTACTATAACTTTACCCCTCTATGGCAACCCATACAAAAGATGATTCAAGAGTATGGACGAGGGTCGAAAGATAAGACATCATTTTGGCAAGTTGTGTCCAAGCATTTCCACGATACTCAAAATTACTGTAGATTAGACACCCATGTTGATACCAATACGTTTTGGCCAAGAATGAATCAAACAAGTGAAGCCAATCCAAAACCAGACTATCTAAATCATCGTATTTTGTTATTACAAATATTTAAATCAATTGCAGACGTTCTAGAAAATAATGGCGATGATGTTGTTTTTTGGTTTTTCGATTTCTTAAAAGACGAAGCTGACTCAAAAGGGCTTGGAAATTTCAAAAAAGAAGAAGATATTTCTATAATATCATCCGTAGACATTGAAAATGACGATAAAACTAAAGACAAGGAAAGTGATACTCAAGAGGATATCGATCCTGACTCTATAATTAATGAAGATGCCGAGTTATCAGACACTGAAATAGACATGGATAAATCTGACAACTTTAAAAGTGAGCAAGATGAACCAAAACGTAAACTCGAAGTGAAGGTAATGTTGAAAACGATGGTTGCTTTTCTTGATCTTTTGGCTCAATTCAAAGCTCCTAAAAAGTTGGATAAAGGGGGAAAACTTTTGGAATTGCATCGCTCTCTACTTCAACATACTAATCCAATCGTCCAAAAAGCTGCTCTCAATTGTCTTTTCAATTATAATGACAAAAACGTTAATCCTTATCGAGAAAGTTTATTCAGACTGTTGGACGATACTACATTTAAAGACGAGATTCTCTTGTTTGGTTCAAGAGGTCCCAATCCTGATGAAGAACATGTTAAGCCTGAACATCGATCAGCTGTGATACCTTTTGTTATGCGTATTTTATACGGTAAAATGTTATCCAAAACAGGATCACGAACAGCTGGTAAAGCCAATTTCGATCTTCGAAGATCAATCGTTTTTCGATTCCTTGCTTCTTGCTCAAAAGATGAAATTATGTCATTTTTGAAGCTATCTTTTGCTGGTTTTGTTCACTTGTTTGAGGTCAAACCAATGGAAATATTATTTAGCTTGAAACAAATCGACATACACAGATGTATTCCACTAAAATATGTACAAGGCTGTTTAAAAACATTGGAATTGATGTTTATGCACTTTGGTAATGTTGTTTCTAATTTACTTCCAATTCTCAACAAAATTCTTCTCATTGTTACATCTTACGCTCGTGTGCTTCTTGATCAACGATTGCTTCTAAATACTCAAGCCGTTAGTCGTCTCAAAGCGATTCGAACTGATTGCTTCAAATTGACAGAGAAATTCTTCACCCTATTTGAAACTTATCATTTCACCAGTGAAGAGTTGGACGCTCTATTTGAGGCTCTCTTGGATCCAATGATTGTGAACCTTGCAAACGAAAGCTTAGAAAATCCATCGCCGCTTCTTCGGCTTCTCCATTGTTGGTCATGCAATCCAAGATACTTCATTTTGTTTGTCAAAAAACATTCACTTGAAGCCGACGTTACTCCATTATCCTGTTTGATTAGTTTATACTCTTCTAATAAGGCAGCCAATTCCGTCATTGATTACATCTCTAACATTTTGGCTAATCTATTGTCTTATGAGAATCACAATCCGATGGAAGATGACGAAGAATCTGTAATACCTCATCTTGAAGTAAATTATCTTATCGATGAATCTTATAATGCAATGTATCGCACCACAAGTGATGAGATGAATTTAGGAACTCACATAATGATTCCTTATATTAGTCCAATCCTTTCGAGGATTCGAGTTAATTTGAGTAACCGTTTGGCCAAGTCTAAACGAAGAGAAGTTATCATCCGTGATAATGAAACAATTATTTTGTCCCATCTCAGTGTACTCGTTGAAAAGGAAGAAGATTGTATTGCTTTGGTTAATCTTCTCATCGATTCAATTAATTACCAACATGATAAAATTGAAGAATCAGCCATCAAAGCTTTGGAATCAATCAACAACTTGATCGGTAAAATTAAAAACAATGCCAGACAATTTATTCTCAAACTATGCCGTCTATTCGAGCTAATCCATGACCGTAATGCTCGAATAAAATTGTGTGAAATCCTTACAACTGTATCGAAAAATTTACCCAAACTAGAAGCTCTAGTTGAAGTTATTGCAATGATTAATACCTACAACCCACGTAACCCAGAGGAACCCGACTATTCAGTTCGTGAAGAAGGATTTTCAAAGGCTCGTAAAATTATCCAAGGAATAACTGAAAGCTCTGTACCGAGTGATTGGATTAAAATTTTGATCCATAATTGTGTCTTTTTCATCAACACATCTGAAGACATTGGTCTTCGTGAATCATCATCAACATGTCTCAGCCTAATCATCAAACAGTTATCTTCTTTTGAAAATTTAAAGCATTTTCAAAGTATCGTGATGAGCATCATATTTCAAATTCATATCAAAAAAGGTATGAAAAATCTTAATGAACACGCAAGACATGAATGGATCACAGTATTATCAGATTTAGTTAAATATGGTAAAGAAAAGGACAAAATGCTTGGACAGTTGGCTTTACTCTCTCATGAAGATGCTGATCAAGATTTTTGGAGCAATGTTCGTCATATACAAGTTCATCGACGAATCCGTGCTTTAGCCAAACTTGGTAACAACCATGAACTTCTATCAAAATTCTCACCACTTTTGTTGCAAGATTATATTCTTCCAGTGGCTTCAATATTTATCAGTGATTTAAAAGCAACTAAATATGGAGCTGCGTCAAGTTATGCTGTAGACCTCATTGGATCTATTTGTTGTCACCTGCCATGGGGACCTTACCAGAAATTACTTCGTCTCTACCTGCATCGTATCATTGGTGATGCTGATAATCACAAGTCAAATGTTAGAATACTGTGCGCTATTCTCAGTAACTTCAATTTCGATTTGAGTAAATCAATGTTACTTGTTAAAAGTAAAGAGGAAAAACATGAATCAACCTTGGCAAAACTGGAAAATGATGGTTCGTCTAAACAAGTGTTAAATCCAGAAGCGGCAACTAGAGTTCATCAAACAATCATCGGTGATTTAGTTCCTAAGCTTCAAGAAGTTCTCTATAAACTTTCCTACACTGATTATGAGTACGACATTATTCGCAGTGAATTTAACCATGAAGATGAAATTCAAAGGATGCCAATAGCTTTAGCTATGGTTAGACTGCTTGACTCTGTTCTCATATCTGAATCAGCCTTTGAGAATCACATTCGTGCCATATTCACACGAATGTGCAACTTCTTGAAATCTCGTCTGGAAAGTATAAGAGATGCATCGAGAAAAATTTTGTGCAAGATAATGGAAATTCTTGGAGCTCGTTATTTACAAATTTTACTTCGTGAAATGAAATCCATGTTGACCAAAGGTTTTCGTTTCCATGTTCTCACCTATACTATTTACATGGTCTTGGAAACTATGTCGTCTAATTTGAAAAGTGGAGATCTTGATGAATGTGCACCTCTTTTGATTGAAATTTTTCACCAAGAACTGTTTACTGATGTGGCTGAGGAAAAGTCTGTTGGTAAAATAACAGCGAAATGTAAAGAGGCCAAAAAGATTAAAAGTTACGCCGCTTATCGTATTTTGGGTAAATTTGTTTCATCAAAAAACCTAATCAAAAACATGTTGCCATTGAAAAAGATTCTCGACGAAACATTCTCGGTCAAGGAGATTAAAAAGGTTACGATTTGTATGGAGAAACTATTTCTTGGTTTGACTGAAAACCAAGGATTATCTGAAGTTTCACTTGTTTCATTTATTCATGATGCTTTAGAGGATAAAATTCCTTCTTTAAAAGTTAAACCTGAAAAAGTAAACAAAAAACATAGTCAACCGCAAAGAAGTGATTCCCTGCTATTGAAACCAGAATATAAGCAGAAAAAGATAACGAAAACCAACCCAATGTCCAATGTTCACGTTTTATTTGAATATTGTTTGCGTTTACTCCTTTCTTTGTTTAAAAAGAATCGTCTTAGGCCTGGAACTCCAGCTGTTGAAAATCTTGGAAAATTTGTTCCGATCTTGATTGATTCACTATTTTCAAAGCATGTCAAGCTGACTTCAACTGCTCTTCGCTGTCTGAACCAATATATTAGAAACTTTCCTGATTTACCCGAATTCAAAGATTCTTGTGATACCATCAAATGCAATATTTTAGTTTTACTGGATGAATTTGTTGCCTCAGGAGCCAACAGCAGGGAAAATGTGGAATTGGTCACAATGTGTTTCAAAACAATATCAAATTTAATCAAATCTATCGAATCAATCAAATTAACTGCTGATCAATTGAAAATTTTGCTCTTCTATGTGGATAAGGATATGGCTGATCGAGCTAAACAATCAACTGCTTTCTCTTTGCTCAAAGCCATTCTACATAAGAAAATGGAATCATCTGAAATCAAGGATATCATGCAAAAAATCACCTACATTATGGTACAATCAGAGGATGATCATATTAGGGAAGAATGTCGTCTTGTCTGGTTGAAATACCTTCTCAATTACTCTCTTGGAAGTCAGTTTAATAACCATGTTAACTATTTTACCCGCCAATTGGAATATCCTCGAGAAATTGGACGATCAACCATTCTTAAGTTGATCTTTTCGGTCATCAAGTATCAAGATAATAGTCAAATCTCTGACAATGCTGCTGCTTTTTACATTCCCTTAGCTGCCCGGTTGATAAACGATGATTCTGTTAAATGTCGTGAATTGGTTGCAACCATTTTGGAAAAATTGTTATCTAAAATATCTAAAAAATCGAGGGATAAATTATTTACTGATGTCACTTTATCTTGGTTTCAAGCTGATAATCAACTACACCGAAGACTTGCTGCTCAACTGTTTGGCCTTTTTGTTTCTGTTGAAGGACCAAACTTTCGTTCCCGATTAACTCAGTGTTTGCCTTTACTCGTTCAACAAGTTGACCCTTCAAGATACGAGCCTGGAGAAGAATCAAAGGTCGATGATCATCAATTATTCCAACTATTAACTTTCTTCCATAAAATTATCTTGCATGATCCTGAAATCATGGAGGACTCTAGATTTATTGATAATCTCAATTCAATATTCTTTTATATTGAAAAAGATTATTTGACCTACCCTCACATCTGGATCAGGGTATTATCTGTAAAAATAGTGGCTAGTCTTTTCAACCATTTCACTGTTTCTCAAATTTCCGATTATTTAATTACTGCCAAACAAGATAGATTCTATCTTTTAAACAATTTACCCTTAAGAATTTGGAATCTTTGTAAAAAACATTGTTTCCTCTTCAGTATTATCTATGAAAACAATGAAGTTGGGGACATTTTGGTGAAAAATTTACATTACATTGCCAAAGTTTTCTTGAGTTTACCCGAAAATTTCAAGATTAGTTTGGATTTCGTTAAAAACAATGGAATAGCTGAGCATAAAGAAAATGACGAACAAAATATTGAACCAAAAAAGAAGAAAGCCAAAAAGATGAAACAACCAGCCGATCCAACACCAAAGCCCACTGAAAAGATTGATGACTGTCCTCTCAATGAATCTGGTACCGAGGAAAACTTCGTCGACAAGTTAAACTTGAGATGGTTAACTAATCGTCTTATTAGGGAGATTAAACGTGAAATATCAAACAATCCTCATGAATATCGAGCTCGTATCACTATCTTCAAATGGATTGCTGCAATTGTTGTGGAAGCTGATGCTTCATTTATTCAACAAAACTGTCGCAACTTGCTGATTCCGCTTGCCCGTGAAATAACTAATCGTAACTTGAAAGAAGCTGGCCGTCTTAGAGAAGAAGATCCTAAACAAATTCTGGTAACTCAATGTTTACAGTTGTATGAAATGATCCGAAATAAGGTTGGATCCGAGGTATTTAGTGCAGCCTATGCCGAAGTGGTGACACTTCACAATCGTAAAAAGAGTGAACGTAAAGCTTCACAAGCAGTTCAGTTCTTGACTAACCCTGTGATGGCAATGAGGCGAAAACAAAGGAAACATCAAGCCTACAAAGAAAGCAAAAAACGGAAGAAGGACTTTAGAAGAGGAAAAGTAAATCGTTTCATGAAACGACCTAAATTAAACTAAATATATTTCAGCCTTTAACTTTGTGATTGACGTGTTATTTTGCGCTTAACTATCTTTACTTTTGTATTGAACCAAACAGTTACTGTATAATAATAATATTAATAACAATAATAACCATAATATTAATACCTTTCATAACGTTGAACATATTTAATTTTATCTCTTTTCTCATATTATAACTCATTGATATAGTTGCAACAACTAATATAGCGAAAGAAAATTTGATAAATTGCTTACTAATGTGAACTCATTTGAATATTGAGTGAAAAGATTAGTTAGATTAAAATACAACAATTAAGAAATGATTGAAGGTGCTTTTTGAAGCGTTAGGTGTCTCTGTAAGTTTGGAGTAAAATTCAAAATAAGTTATGAGCATGTCTTTGAATTTATGTCGAGACTTCGGTTCATTTGATGATAAAAGTTACCAAATAATGTTTCTTTGGTTCCTCCAAAGTTTTTCAACCAATGTTGTCAGTTTGTTAACAGTTACATTTCACTTGGATTATTATTAAATGCTGTTTTGTAATTTGTAATCTTCCCGTTTTAATGGACGATGTTGTAAATTATATCATCTTTTGAGCGAACAAATTTTCGGAAAAGATTTTCTCTTGTAATTTAACCGTTTGATTCCAGGATTGACTTGCTTTTTCATCGAAGAAAACATTTCTTCTTGTTGTGATTCATCTAATTAATCGGATAATTTTTGCTTTAATGACTCGATAACCATGCCGAGTAATAACAAAGTGATTACCAGTGATTTGGAGAAACTAATTGGTGAAAGAGATTATCTTAAACGTGAAGTAAATCGTCTTGAGAATGAAGTTTCTAGTCTAATTAAGACAAAACATGAATCGGATCAATTGTGTTACCTTCTTCTCAGTGAAAAAGAAAATCTCATTTCAGCTTACACTGATCTTGAAACTCTTTACAAATCATCTCAAAGTGAATTAATGTCTTTAAAAAATGTCTTGATTCACCAGCAAACCTCTCATCAAAAGGTAAGATTCAAACAATAAGATAATCAGGTTAATCTATGTGAAAATCAGTGTGAAATACAGTTAATAAATGACTCAAATCTCTTGAATTTATTTTTCAACATCAAAATCTTTTCGTAAACACCAGATCTTAACCTTATAACAAAAAAGCTGTTGAATTGTGATAAAACTTAACCTTTGAGCGTAATTTTAACCAATTTAGTCATTCACTTGAAAGACATTGTTTGTCCGATGATTTGGCAAAATCAATCATTATCATTATCAATTTTTCATTTGTTACCATTAAACATATTAATTTTGGTGATAAATTTTCATTTTTTGTCTTTTCCTTGTCCATTTTTTACCCGAAAAAAAGTCCATGTCATCAACATATGTTGATGTCAAGTAATTGTCTTCGTCTTTTCCTCCTTTCTCCTCTTTCTATCCTTATATGTGGACAATAATGTAACCTCAATAGCAAACATGATTGATACTTTTCCATGACAATTGACTCTTTCTTTAACCATTACCATTCATTCGTTTGATTCCAATCTGAACAGAATTACATTTTCTCTCTACAATCCATTATTTATAGAGAATCAGTTATTTCACCCAATGATTCTTTTCTTTCTTTCAACCTAAACTTTAATCCCTCCAATAGTCCAGTCATTTATCCTGTAAAAACTTGACCATTTTCAATCCACAATTTTCATCCAAACCTCGTGTGCCGGTTCCCTTAAACAAAATGAAACATCGATTGTTGATTTAATGGTAAAGTTAATTACCAAGTTATCAAAGATTCATATTGAACAGACCATTACCTATTGTAACCATTGTTTACACTATTATTATTCAAAGCATATTAATTTCTAATGATTACAATTCACTCTATTATCGTTTATTATTATATTATTATCATTATTAATATTTCATTTTTCCCTTTCTTCTATTCATCGATTCATTGTTATCGGTTGTCTTGCTTTCAATCCTCTTCTGTTCACTTAATGATAACTGTTGTACCAGAAGAAGCAAAAAATGGCAACAAATACGGTATTTGCTTAATCATCTGGAAATAATGTTTTTGGTAATTGTTATCATGATGATTACCTAAATGTTTATCTTCCTGATGATACCCTTGATGATCAACTGATTCACTTGAATCAACTAAACCATTTCCATTGATTTACTAATGATTGTCATAACCAGATCAAAATTGTCTTCAAATTTGCATCTAAAAGGTGAAGTAAATGTTTCAGGTTAAATAACCAAATAACCCAAAATGACTCAATCTCTGGTTACTTAAAATGAGAAAAGAAGAGAAGAAAATTTTCCATTGTTGACTGTCCACACTGACCATTGATCAGTTACTTTTCATCTCATTTGGAACAAACAATTTGATAATTTTGATGTAAATATTTTGATCAATATCTTGATAAGCCTGGACCATTCCTTTCAACAGTCACCTTCAGATAATCTTGTTAACCATCTAGATTGAGAAAAGCCTCAATTTTCCATCTATTTAGCCCATAATTAACTGGAAATTAGCCCAAAATAATTTCGCCTTTTTTCTGGTTACCATTTAACCAACAAGATGAAACCAAATGGTTACATTTCTTAGATATATATCTTGTTTCAGATCGTATTTCATGTAAGGTTTTGCACTCAAAAGGTTACTGTCGTCTTTTCCTTCTGTCATGTTTACAAGATGAGCGTCATTTGTGTTTAGCTGCACACCTTTCAGCCTTCTTAAACTCATCCTCATCATCTTCTCATCTTAACATTTTTGACTTCGTAATATGATAAGTATCATTTTACGCTGCAACTTAGCACTATTCACTCCAATCTCCCTGTGGATATGAATCTCTTTTTTATTTCATCTTTATTCTCATCTCATCCTCATTATGCTGATCGTCTTAAGACAATCATGTTTTTTCATTAGACCAGATAGTAATCTTGAGAAGATTTCCCTTGAAAAAAAGCGAAAGCAAAACACTTGCAAAATCTCATGAGAAGTGACCTTTGCTTTGATGGTTTATCTAGACTTATTGATTACTTCATGTCTATCTTCACCCAACTGTTATTTTTTATTTTTCAATAATAATCAAGATTACCGTTCATCGACAGACTTTAACAAATTTTCCCTTCTTATGGCTTTTATTTTGTAGCTTCAATGAAACTTATTGATTAGTGAATCTAGTTTCATCACTCACATTGTCAACCAGTAATTAATCAAGCTAAAATTTCATGTTTTCCCTTTGATTGATTGACCAGCAAAATTGAACATTCTTGTCCTTTCAAATGCTTTTTTCAATTTAAATTCCAGGTTAAATTGTCCGTCTTTACATTGGACTTTCCCTTTTATTCAACTAACTCACTTTTTGTTCACAACTGCAATTAAAGCTCATTTGGAAGCTCAATTTATTCAATTTCACTGGACTGTTTATATTGAAATTTCTGGCTTTTCCCTGTTGAACAATGAACAGTCCCATTAAACATGTTTAATTTTAATTTCTAAACAATTCCAAATGATTAACTTTCTTCTTTTACAATATAAATCAGTTGAGCTAAACATAACAAGACAAAAGAGAGCCAAAGAAGCTCAAGATGCAGAGTTGATTAACTTAACAATCAATTCTTTCTGTTTCAACCATTGCTCAGTTTGCAGTTAATCATAATAATTACAACCAATACAATCAATGATAATAATGATTTGAATTGTTTGAACAACTGACTGATTTAGTTAGTTGGTGAGTTAAGAAATGAAAGCCAAAAAGGCCAAAAGCTTTGAACATGAGTTTTGAAGTAATAAATTTTGACTAAAGTATAAATAAAATGGTAAAAACAAAAATCTAAATAAACAGGCAAAGACGCTTGAAGTAAGCAGATAAAGATGAGGATGAAAGGAAACAAGAGAAGATGATAAAGATGAAGAGAAAAGTAAAGGCTGTTGAAGATGAACACACAACAACAGAGAGAAAAAAAAGTGATGCTAAAAGAGTCTTGCTGAGTTTTGCTAAATTCATGGTAAAAATGTTGGTTAATTCATGTGTTCGCGTGTTTATCCCGTCAAATGTTGATGGCGATGATGAAGATGGAGAAGATGAAAGAAGATGCATTTTGATGCATTAGGACAAGGCATTTGCTTCTTGAAAATAGCTTTTCCTTCCATCTTCTTGTTACCTTCAAATTTACTGTTATCACCAACATCACCAACAGCATCATCACCATCACAACTGATCACTAATGATGAAAACTACAAAAAAACAATTCAATCTAATTTTAAATGAAGTAATTAGACAATTGTAAATGAACCTAATTTAAACTGTTTTCATGATAACTAGATAACGATGTTCATTTAATGAGAAAAGACAAAGATTTCAAAGAAAAGATTCTCTGTAATTTACTGAACAATTAGTGAGATTAAATCAGTTGAAAATGATTCAAATTGGAAAACTCAAGTTTGGATGAAAATTTGTGAATAATTGTCTTTTCCTTTTCCATTTTTTCAACCCTTTACTGAGTCTTCTTCATATTATTCAAAAAGGGTTGACATTCGGTAAATATTGAACCATTAATGGCTGATGATTATTATTCACTGACAAAGTGGCAATGATTGTAAGTTTACAATTATAATTTACATTGAACCGAATCAGTTTAATTTACATAGGAAACACTCGGAATAAAAGTGCAGCAATTGAAATTCAACCATCAATCCAGTTATTATCAGTTTAGTTTTGTGACAATTATCATTGATAATGATCGCTTTGTTTCCTGTTATTAAAGTAAATTGTAAATTAAATATGTAATTGTTACCTTTTAAATGGTAAAAGCGAGTGAAAAATGATGTTCAATAGTATGGTTGGTTAATTGACACAATTGGTTAACATTGGTTAAACTGGCAAAGAAACAAGCTTTTCTCATACCAAAGCTCAACAGTCCATTCAGCTTATTTACATACATTTTGTACATTAGTTTGTGTGTAACATTTGATGCCATTGATGCCGTTTCTTTGGCTTACGCTGAGATCGTTACACTAGGCTAATTACAGTTTCATTGAATGGTTAAATTGAAAATTGTTTCCCTCCACAGCATCGCAATTAACCATTGATATTAACACACACAGAGTGAGACCCAAGAAATGGGTTCATCTCATCATTTTTAACGGTTAATCAAACACAAACAGAGAGGCAAAAATTTAGCAGTTTAAATGAGCAACTCTTTCAACTTTTCCCTTCCCCAATGATGAACCTCTTTTTGTTCAACCTTTTGTGTTTAAACCCTTTTCCCAAACCCAACTAAGTCAACATTGAAAATTATTACATGATCAGTGTGGCTCCATGAACTGCCATTAATTTACAACCCTCTATTACTGTGTTAACATTAAAAGTGAAAATTGATTGATTACTTTTAATGATCTTTCATATTCTATTGACCCAACAATACAACTTAATTTTCATCATTTATAAGTCAATATTTACATTTACCTTAACCAGTTTCATCAAACAATCAATCATTAACTGACTCTTAATTAATGGCCCAAAGACAGGTCAATATATTGACTGAAATCGAAACAAATAGATACCTAGAAATACTGTTATTTCATCCAATGAGAAACATCAAGCAGAACTTATGAACGCAATCTGATACTCGTACAGAATCAGGAAACAGAAAGCTTTTCTGTGAGAAAGAACAATTAAATATGAGAACATTTCTTTCACTGAAAGTTCTGATGAAAAGAAAAAGCAAAAACCTGAAACTCTTGCAAAGCACATAAGGAATGGCACTGGGACTGGGAATGTTCAGCACTTATCAGATCTTTAACTTATAATTTGACTGATCTTAGCTCTCAGTCTAGTCTCATAAAAGTTCAGAAAAATCATGAAATTTAAAATGAATTTTTTCCCTTTTGTTCACAATTGTTTATTGAAGATGTTTAACAAAATCAATAATTTAATAATTAAATAGCCAATGAAGTGAAACATTTATTCATTTTAAAATACTAATTAATTTTCAATTCAGCTTCA